GGGGGGGTAGATCAAAGTGTCTGGAAGAGGAAACATTTTGCTTGTTAAATATTGTGATGTTCTGTCTTATTCTGCAGCAACAGCTGGTTGTCATGGAAACATCAGAGGAAGCTGGTAGGTGTGTTAAGGCATAAATTAAGACAGTATTTATTTGTGAAAATTGTTTCAACTGTTAAAGTGCAGAAAACTAAAACAGCAACTTCACACTTCAAAAACTGCCACCTGTAACCTGCTAACACCTGCTAACACGTGCCAACATGTGCTAACTGTTGCTCACACTGACTGAGACAGAAATGGATCCATGAACACTGAGAAGAGGCTCGTTGCCTTCATTAGCACTGTTAGTGGTCTCTGCATGTTCGTTAAAATCCAACTCGTTAACATGCAGATCGTTAAGGGCAGCATAAGTTCTGCACTCTGATTGGCTGCTCGCTCTGTCTTTGGTCCCGTCTCACATTTTGCTGATGTCTGTGGCTGCTCTCCATGGAAACCAGACAGCCAAGCAGAGCTGCCCCCAGGGATGGGCGGAGTCAGTCACTCAGCAGCAGGTGAGGGGGCGGGGCTTTGGTAGTCACAGTGGTGGGCAGAGGGCAAAGGTCGTCGCTAAGTTTGAGCAGAGAGTGGCGTTGCTTCCTGAGAGGAACGCTATTGGTCAGCGTCTGCAGAGAAAGAGAATCCTGCACTGTGATTGGCCATTAATCCTTTATTATAATTTAATCATTAATCCGTCAGCTGGAATGTGTCGAAGCTGCAGCTGATTGGAAACACTCGGTTTCTGTCCTGTTTCCAGCTGTAAACCTCAGGTCTTATAACACTGGTGTTCAAACAGAACATACTGTGACCATACTTTATGGCTCATGAGTTGGTTCTGTCAGAGGTTTGGTTCTGTTCAGTGGTTCTCTGTTGGCCACCAGTACTGATCCACACTGAGGGGTTATTAAATATTAACAGGTCTAAAGGCAGCAGAACGTGGTCTACAGCTGCCCCCAACAATTACTCATCAATAATCAGTCTAAAGATCACTGAATTGATTATTGTGAAGCTTCATTTCTCCTGACTGCTGAGTTATGATGTCACTGATGGATTCTTTTGGTCAGACAGGAAACATCCTGAGCCTCAAACTACACACAGATGATTGTGATCCGTGTTCCACAGCGTCACTTTACCGCCGGACCAGAGCTTTTACTGACGTCAGACTGAAACTGGTTCTGACAAATTCCCGTCCTGACTGCAGAAACATACAGAAACTTCCTAAACAGACATGAAGCTGTCGACAGGTGAGCAGTGTCTGTGATGATGTCACTGACCAGGCAGAGCCGGTGTGCGTACAGCGCCTCCGGTTCATCAGGCTTCCTGGTCGGCACGGCGACCTGCCAGCGCTGCAGCTCAACCATCATCTCGGCCGGACTGAACAAGACTGCAGGGTCGGCACGGCAACGGTTGATAAGCTCCACCAATCGCTCCTTATAGTGCAACCTGCTGGAGCAGAGATACCTGAAACTACCTCACCTGGACAGGTAAGCAGCAGGCTTCAACCTCACTGGCATCAGACCAGAGTCAAACTGGGGTCAACCTGGGACCAGACTTTACTGGGAGCTGACTGGTTGTCGGTACTGATACTCGAAGTGTAACAACTCTCTCAGAACCCTCCAGCTGATCCAACATGCTGCAGCAGGGTTCTGACAGAACCAGTACCAGATCATATGTCTCCTGTATCAGCTTCTCTTTAGTGGCTCCCTGTAAAATCCAGGATAGAATCTAAATCCTGCTTCTAACATATAAACTCTCCATGAGCAGCTCCATGTGACCTTACAGACCTCATGGTACCGTATCATCCTAACAGAACCCTTCGCTCTCAGACTGCAGGTCTACTGGTGGGTCCAGAGTCTCCAGAACCAGAATGGGAGGCAGAGCCTTCAGCTATCAGCTCCCAGTCTGGGTTCTGGAGGCAGACACCCTCTGTGCTTTAGGTCAGGATGAAAACGTTCCTCTGTGATGAAGCTGATAGTTAGAGCTGCTCAGGATCACCTGAACTGTCCCTCAGTGATGCTGCTGTAGCTTCAGACTGCCGGGGGACTCCCATGATGCACTGGGCTCCTCTCCCCTCCATACAGGTCTACATCACCATCACATTCACTGACTCTGTGTTTGTTCTCTGGATCTGGAGCTTCACGGCTCTGACCTGCAGCCGCTGGCCTCACCGACCTAAACATATGTATTGTTCTGTGCTATTGCTGCTCTCCATCTGCTGTCCTGCTGTCCACCCCTCCATCCCCACTCTCACTGAGGCAGATGGCCTCCTTCCCTGAGCCTGGTTCTGCCGGAGGTTTTTTTTTTATGGATCCTTCCTACCGTTGCTCAGAGGAAGTCCAAAGGCTGCTGTGGACTGTTGGTTCTCTGTTAGCATCTGTGAGGTCTGTACCTGACTATGCTCAGGCTGTGAGATGTTGTGAACAGCGCTATGCAAATAAAATGGATTTGAACTGCCTCGTGGTCGGTACTGGGAGCTGTGGGCTTACTGGCAGTATCCTTTGTACTCGGGTCGTGCAGGTCGTCCACAGGGCTCCTCCTGTCTGCTGCTGTCGTCTCTCAGCTCCAAAACCAAACACACTGCTGCAATATGATCACAACAGTCAATCAAACTGAGACAGAAGAGATTTCACCAGCTGAACAAAAGAGAGCTCACCTGCCAGACCGATGTCAGGTGGGCTACCACTGGCTGGTTCCAACCAGGAGGGAGACACTCTGTAATGCTGAGAGACAATAGACAGTCCTCGTCAATACTGACCACACAGCGCCGGGGTGCACCTGAGCTCTCTCATACCCCTTGTTCCACCAAACCGGTTCCAGGTCTCGTTCCATGCTAGTTCCTGACTTAGCACCAGTTCTTTGTGTGTCCACTAACTAACCCTAACCGGCTCCAGGCTCTCAGAACTGCTGCTTTTCAGGCACCAACTCTTTGCTGGGCCAGAGCTCAGCACCGAGTCCGTCAGGGGCTGGGGGCGGGGCTATCGATCCACCGAGACCGATGGATGGGACACACAAGCGGTGATTTGTGTCGTTTTTCTCCGGGACGTCTCTGGTCCGATCACAGATGTCTCATGAAAAACGGAGCTCAGCTACGTGCTGTTTGTTCTGCTCATAGAAAAGACCTCATGAGAACAGATCACTGGGTTTCATCCTGGACAGATCTGACACCAGAACGTCCTGGTTCACTCTGTTAAAGTCATCTCTGGTCGCACACCGGTCTGAGCACCGCGGCCTCCAGCAGCAGATGTTCAGCCGGTCAGATGTTTTTCCTGTGACCAGGTGAGAAGTGTGAACAAATGAGAAAGTTGGTCGCACCGGTACCAAAGTCAGTCTGGAGTCCTGTGTGGACTTCTGTGTGGCGCCAGCGCTGTTCGGTAAACGGCTCCGTATGCGGTGACGTACGGCTCTGACTGGGCTCCTGATCAATGGAAAAGCAACCGGTTCTTAGACTGGAACCAACTGAGCTCTGGAACTAGCACCTGGTTCTTCTTGGTGGTAAAGGGGTGTGACGCGTCATACCTGTGGTGGGTTTAGTTCGTGCGTCTCTCATGTGATTCTTACTTGCAGCAGCAGGTGAAGGCGGGTCACACTCCAGTCTCTCAGGTGGTAAAGGCAGTTTCTGGGGTGGTGGGCATGAAGACCTTTGTTTCCACAGTCAGCAGAGAAGCCGCAGGCCTGAAGACAATAAAGTTAAACAGCTGTAAGGTCTGAAGTCACCTGAGACACCTGAGGTCGGGGCCAGGAGGTCAGACATTTGTACTCCATTTGAGAACTCCGGCCAACCTCCTTCCCTGTCGGAACAGATGTTCTGATCCATCATGCTGATTTTTTTAGTTCTTCTGTCTGCTGTTGCTAACAAAGCTAGCTGCTAAGCTAACGTGTTTTCTATTGCTGCGTGCTTTATGTTAGCAGAGCGATGCTAGTGTTGCATGTTAACAGGATGTTCTTTCCTAACACAGCTGCTTTTACACTCAGTGCTGTTTGAAGAATCGTAGGTCACCATGTGAGGAACTCTGTTGTCCTGCCAGCTGCTCCTGGGTTCATTACAGGACTTCCCTGATTCTAACATGACTGCTCTCTGTTTTCTAACATGTATTATAATGCTTTTATAATTCATTCTACATCCACCCAACCGGTGGAGGCAGATGGCCGTCCCTCCCTGAGCCTGGTTCTGTCGGAGGTTTTTTTCCCCTGTGGAGGTTTTCGGTTCCGTCCCACCAGCAGACTGCTGAAGCTTATAGGGAATCCAGATGTTTGGATTGTTGGGTGTTTCTGCCTTTGTGAAGCGCTATGAGATGACTGTTGTTGTAAATATGCGCTATACAAATAAAACTGAATTGAATTGAATCATGATAAAGTCTTTCAGAGGAAACGCTCTGACATTCATTCTGTTACTCGTGTTTCTCTGAGATCTCATTAATTCATAAAGAAAATATTGCCACTGAAGTCTTTTCTCTGCTGGAAGTGAACATCAGAGTATCAGACTCTGGATCATTTTCCTCTCCGTAGTAAGAGCAGACTGTGTGAACTCCTTGTCACCAATGAATTGATTTAAATTAGCATCCTTCAGAGACTCCTGCAGGTTACACTGGAATACAACTACAGCAACGGCGAACTGAAGGACTGGCGACAAGCACACTGGAGCAAACCAGCTGATTCAATGCATTCAAATTAAACTCGTCACTGATCCAAGAATGAAGCAAAGACTGAACAGAAACTCAGTCGATCATGATGAACTCACAGATCCCAGAGTGAAGCGCTGACTGCAGCCGCCGCAGAACTGATGGCCACACTGACTGCAGGTGAAGTGGAGACATCCTCCTCTGGATAGGCTGAAGACCAGCTGGCAGTTTGGACACTCTGGGGACACAAGACCACGTCAGACCACGTCAGACATTCTAGTGGGGGACTTTAAGCTCTAGGTAGACGATGAGAACGACGGTCTGAACTCTGCGTTTAGTTCACTGGTAGACTCAGGTGGCTTCTCTCAGTGGTCTAACCCTTGGTCTTGTTCTGACTGTTTTATAAGAAAAAGGTTCTGTCTGATCGTTTCTTAATAGCATTTGAGTTGACAGTAATGGACTACGGACCACCTCCCAGAGAGTCCGTTACAGCAGACGTCTATCTGATAACGCAGGAACTACAGTCAAGGAAATGCTTCTACTATTATTTACTTCACTGTCAACACAACAGAGAGCAGCTCCTCTGAGCTTAGTCCCACACAGGTGGATCATCTGGCTGATAGAACTGCAGCTTTACTGTGTTCTTCAACTGATGCTGTTGCCCCTCTCCAAAGGTCTGATTAATGGTTGTCTGCTAGTATGGGGTATCCATTGGGCGTACTGGGGGTCGGGCCACTCTCCTGTCTTCCATATAACTGTGAAACACTATTTGCACCCCCCCCCCTTCTCAAATTCAGATTTTTTAAAATATGTCCCCCACTTAAATGTTTAAATATGAGACAAAGACAACCAAAGTAAACACAAAATGCAGTTTTTAGATGATGATTGAATGTTTGGAGGTAGAAGCTGTCCACACCTACCTGGCCCTGTGTGAACAAGTTAAAACTGTGTTAGACATGAGCTAACTGTGGCTCATCACATTGTTTGGAAACTGACTGCAGCCTGATGACCTCCAGACCTGTTCAGTCAACAAGTCACTTCAACAGAAGCTGTCCAACAGAATGAAGTCGGCCAGAAGGTCTCAAAGAGCTGCAACAAAGATCCAAAGAAATTCAAGAACAGCTGAGAAATAAAGTGACTGACGTCTATCAGTCTGGACAGGGTTCCAGAGGCGGTTTCTAAAGCTTCAGGACTCCAGAGAACAACGCTGAGAACCATCATCCACACATGGAGAAACATGGAGCAGTGGTGGACCTTCCCAGGAGGCCGGCCAGCCAGAATGACCCCAACAGCCCAGTGACGACTCATCCAGGAGGTCACAGAGGAACCAGGACAACATCCAAAGACCTGCAGGCCTCCGTGGCCTCAGTCAAGGTCAGTGTTCATGACTCAGCAATAAGGAGGAGACTGCAGGGCGAACATGGCAGAGCTCCAGAACCACTGCTGACCAAGAAGAACATCAAGACTCGACTTACTGCTGCAAACAAACATCTGAATGATCCCCAAGAATATTCTACGGACTGACGAGACCAAAGCTGAACTTTCTGGAAGCTGTGTGTCTCGTTCCATCTGGTGTAAAAGTAACAGCATTCCAGATAAAGACCATCACAGCAGCAGTCAGACATGGTGCTGGTGGTGGTGGTGGTGGTCTGGGGCTGTTCTGCTGCTTCAGGTCCTGGACCATCACAGCACCAGTCAGACATGGTGGTGGTGGTCTGGAGCTGTTCTGCTGCTCCAGGACGACTTGCTGTGACTGATGGAACCATGACTTCTGCTCTCTGCCAGAAGGTCCTGAAGGAGTTCGTGACCTCCAGCTGAAGCCACTTGGGTTCTGCAGCAGGGCAACGATCCAGAACACACCAGCAGGTCCACTTCTGAATTGCTTAAAGAAACTAAATGCAGGTTCTGGAGCGGCTGAGTCAAAGTCTGGACTTGAAGCTGACTGAAATGCTGCGGCATGGGCGCCCCGTTAGCTCAACCGGATAAGACGACGACCCGTGCACAGGGCTATAGTTCCTGACGCAGCGGCCACGGTTCGAGTCTGCTGCATGTCCTTCCCCACGTCTCTCTTCACCATCCTATCAAATAAAGGCAAAATGCCAGAAAAATAATCTTTAAAAAAAGAAATGTTGCGGCATGACCTTCAGAGGGCCGTTCATGCTGGGAAGCCCTCCAGTGGTGCTGAATTAAAACAGTTCTGCAAAGAAGAGCGGGCCAACATGTCTCCAGAGATGTGACTCGTCACCAGGTGTGGAAAACGCTGGATTTCAGGTGTTGCTGCTGAGGGCAGCCCCACCAGGTGTTAGGGTCAGGGCAGTTAGTTTTCCACACAGGGCAGGTAGCTCTGAGGAGTTTGTTTCCCTTCATAAATAAAACCATCATTTAAAAACGTTGTGTTTACATTTGTTTGATGATCTTAAACATTAAGTGGGGAGAAGGAGGCCAATGCTTTTTCACAGCATGTACACAACCATCACGTCACTAACCTGTGTTTGTTCTCTCTGCAGGCGGCTCTGATCCATCCTGCACTCAGAAAGAGTCTCTCGGACTTGGTTTATAGCTGTGGTGCTGTCTTACCGATGCTGGTGTACAGCAAGGGGCTGCTGTGATGATCTGGTTGGTTCTGCTGTTTCCAGACTCTGAACTGCTCACAGGAGAGACTCTGGTGCTGAGGAAACCACTGAGAAACAGAAACAGAGTCAGAGTCTGTGCGAGTCTCTTACAGGTGATCTGCACTTCGAGCATGTTGTTGAGTTGTCTTGTGTCTTACAGGTGATCTGCACTTGGAGCATGTGCTCTTCTTACAGCTGGGACAGTCCATCCTCAATCTGTCGGCCTCGTGGAGCATCCCGAAGGAACACTGAAACACACAACATCCATCACCTCCACCTGACCTCAGTCTTCCACTTGATCTCCAAAAAGTACAGCATACAGCCACAGAACCTCAGTGTGCCACCGAACCCGGATTTGTCCTCAAAGTTGTTGGTATGGGCCTTCTGGTTTGGTCTATGCTGCACCTGCAGAACTTAATCTGTGTGTTTACCCCGACCAGCTTCTCCAAAGGACCACATGTTGTTAGTTCAGTGCACAGCACAACCTCGTAGCTCTGAAGAACTCAGACCCACCAGAACCGGAAGACCCTCCCCATAACTACAGTCTGCTGTTCAGGTCCCTACTCACGCTAGTAAGCAAAGATGGAGGATTGGACCACCATGTCGACGCTGTTCAGCTGTAATTGAGTTTGAAGCTGGTTGTGGATGTGATCACTCATTTGATGGTGAGCATCAGTGGTACTGAAGTGAGACCAGCCAAAGCAAAGTCTTGGTGGTGTTTGATCCGTCTCTTTCTGACAGCCTGGGACTCTACAGGTGTTTCTGTAGCAGCAGGTGTTGTCGCTTTATTATGAACTCCTGAACCAAACAACTGATCCAACATTCATACATTTTAATCAGTTAATTTCCTAAATGACACACCGTAATAGATGGTTTTTATTGTCTTGAATTTCTTTGACAATATTTATTTTCATTTACTTGTGTGGCCTGTGTTTTGCATGAGCAGGCTGCAGCCGGTGCAGCAGACACTGGAAACGCTGCTTAGTGTCAAACTGGATGGAACTGAAATGAACTGTTTATAAAAGACAGAAACCATGTGTTCTGGAAGCCATTCAGTGATACGAAAGTCAAATAAACAGTTTAACGTTTTGTATTTTACTTTTCTCACTGAACTGAAAGCGTGACCTCAAAACCGAGCCACATACAGAACCGGGACTTCTGTGTTCAGTCACACCCTGAAGGGAGATGCTACTCTGAAGACAGAGGTTCTGGTTCTGGTCTGTGAGGTCTGGGTTCTGATTCTGGTTCTGGTCTGTGAGGTCTTGGCTCTTGTATATGAATTTGTGGTTCAGGTTTGTGAGGTTGTGGTTTTTGATTTCCTGGTCTATGAAGTCTTAGTTCTGATCTTTAAGGTCTTGGTCTTGGTGTGTGAGGTTCTGCTCTTGGTCTTGCTGGGTCTTACGTGAGCACACCAGCAGAAGTTGGGCATCTCCTGCAGGGCTCTGTCTCTGAGCTTCCTCTGGAAGAGTTCGTGGATCTCAGGAGGCAGAAAGTGACGGATCTGAAACAAACACACGATTTGAACCAGGGTTCTGGTCAGAACCTGCAGCAGTTAGGGTCAGAACCAGCAGGGCACAGGGTTACATCCAACAGAATCAGGCGAGTGTCACACCTGAGTATCCAACAGGCTGAAATAGTCCATGGACTCCTCTAGCCCTCCCGGACCTCGGACCTCCGGGCGGCCACACTGAGGACACACCAGCTGATCCACGCTGCGCTCTTTAATGGCCGCCAAGAAAAACAACTTGAAACACGACTGACACAGGAAGCAGGAGCAGTGGGTCATCGTGATGATCTGCAGGGATTCAGGCAAAGAGTGGCCGGTCAGGAAAGTAGACAGTGAGCTGCTGGGTTTCTGACTCGCTGTCTCAGCTGATGCTGCTCACCTTGCTGAAGGACACCTGTTCCTGACAGATGGGGCAGCTGTGACTCAGGAACCTCAGGGCTGATGGGAGGTCTCTGTTGAGTTGGACCGCCTCCATGGCATCAGCAGGGATGAAGCTCCGCCCCTCCATCGCCATTAGAGATCGAAACAACGTCGCCTGGTCCGGAGGGAGCTGGGCCGCCATCTGAGTAACAGACACAAGGTCTGAGACCACCTGAGACCTGCTGAAACCACCTGAGACTGACTGGGACCACCTGAGACTGCCTGAGACCATCTGAGACTGGTTGGGGCCACCTGAGACTAGCTGGGACCATCTGAGACCTGCTGAGACTGGCTGAAGCTACCTGAGACTGACTGGGACTACCTGAGACCATCTGAGACTGATTGGGGCCACCTGAGACTGGCTGTGACCACCCAAGACTAATTGGGACCATGTGAGACAGACTGACACCACCTGAGACCTGATGAGACCATCTGAGACCACAAGACACTGTCTGGGACCATGTGGTATTGACTGAGACCATCTGACACTGGCTGAGATCATCTGAAAAATGAGGACTTCTCCTCACCTGGATAAGGTCTGTTGCTGGTCTGGATGGGGGTCCGGAACGACAGAAGTCCTGATTGAGTCCACATGCTGGTCCAGAATTGGCAGTTTGTCTGTCTCTGGCTGCTTCTGATTGGGTGATCTGGACAGGTGACCCAGCCTGCTTGTCTCTGCTGGACTCTCCATCCAGCCTCAGAGCTCCCATTTGCCTGCTGAGAGGGTCTTTAAGGTGGGCTCCTGCAGGCACAGGACCAGGACCAGAACAAAGATAAAGATTAGAACTAGAACATAGACCAAGATAAGAAATAGAACCAGGACCAGGACATGACCTAAGATCAGATTAATAACCAGGATCAAAATTAGGACCAGGACCAGAACCAGGACATTGACCAAGATCAGGACCAGGACCAAGATAAGGATCAGCGCTAAGATTAGGCTCAAGACATGGACCAAGATCAGGACCAGGACCAAGACCAAGACCAGGACATAGAGCAAGACCAGGACATTGAGCAAGATCGGGTTGCGGACCAGGACCAGGACCAGGAGCACCACCAGTACTACAGCCTGCCCGCAGTACTGATCAAAGTCCACTAGCTGTATGCAGGCAGCAGGTCCGCTGGTTCCACTGTGACCATTATAGGTTCTGTTGTTCTGAATCCTTGTGGATCCTGATGAGTGAAATCAGGCTACAGCTGACGTTTCCATGTTTTTCCACCATGACCTTATTACCAGGAGTAAATACAAGCCAATTAGCTGCTTTATACACATATCTGTTGTTTCTGACCAGGAAGAAGAGGGAAGCTTTTCTGACAGTCATGGCTTTATGTTACAGACCACGCCCTCAAATGTTACCTGTCCTGACTCACCTGAAGGGGAGGAGCGAATGAAGGGGTTGCTGTTGGATGGGGATGGAGGAGGAGCGCTGAAGTCAATGCCCAGCAGCTCCTCAGTGTACGAACGGCCCGCCCTCACCATGCGCAGCTCCAATCGGCTGGCTGAAAAACAGGGGGAGGGGCTTAGTCAGGCCACACATGCTAGAGTTAGCATGAAGACAAGCTAACACTCAGTCTGGGCTCTAAATGTTTGTGTTTTCCTCAGAGTCCGGCCTGCTGCAGGAAGTATCCTCAGTCTGCACATCATAGGGAGCTTTGTCGACCTCAATAATGTCACAGCTGAAGTGTCATAGAATTAATCTGAATTCAAATATAATAAAATCCCACAGTTTCACGTTAGATTTTAAGTTTTTAAGGAGTTGCCAGGGGTGCTGAGTGGCAGCTGGACACTCCTGATTTGCATAAACTCAAAAAAAATTGTATTTAAAAATTGTATTTAATGAGAAGCAGGCAACACAACAAACCATCTCTTTCTGAAGCCAAAGTTAGAACAGATTTCTACAAAGTACTGCCATTTAATGAAAAATAGAAAATGTAAAATAAGTGATTGCATATGTATTTATATGTATTAACCTCTTTAAATTGACTCTCACACCCCTTTACCACCAAGAAGAACCAGGTGCTAGTTCCAGAGCTCAGTTGGTTCCAGTCTAAGAACCGGTTGCTTTTCCATTGATCAGGAGCCCAGTCAGAGCCGTACGTCACCGCATACGGAGCCGTTTACCGAACAGCGCTGGCGCCACACAGAAGTCCACACAGGACTCCAGACTGACTTTGGTACCGGTGCGACCAACTTTCTCATTTGTTCACACTTCTCACCTGGTCACAGGAAAAACATCTGACCGGCTGAACATGTTCTTATCGACGGGGCGGAGTTATCGTGACCACTGAGACTGATGGATGGAACACACAAGCGGTGATTTGTGTCGTTTTCCTCCAGGACGTCTGTGGTCCGATCATAGATGTACTGGAATGAGTCCAGGGACACACGGAAGTTCTGCACGTTTCTATTGCTTTTGAGCTGTTGGCGCCACTTAGAGGTGATGCTGGGAAACTGTTAATAATGTGAAAAAAAGGTCATTCCTCAAAGTGATGTGCACATCAGAGACACACAGATGAACAATTAACACACCCAGGCGTTTGCAATCAGATGAGCGTATATTAAAGTCTACATAAAACGGTGCAGAAGATCCCGTCAACAACAACGGCAGCTTTGGACCTGCTGGAGGATATTGCCAATGGAGCAGTGCCAAGAGAACGGGTTTCCAGAGACCTCAGGACGATGACTGGCTCATCAGCTGCTTTAGGTTCCCGAGGACAATCCTCCTAGAACTTTACGTGGAGCTGCGGCCATTATTAGAGCCCAACACGTCCAGGAGCCATGTCCTACCTGTGCCCATACAGGTGCTGACCCACTGGGCTTCCGAGCCACAGGGTCATTTCAGAGGGAGCTGGCCGACCGACCGGGACTGTGCCGGTCCACACTGAGCCGAGCCATGCCAGCCGTGTGGGATGGAACCATCCGAATGNGGAACCATCCGAATGTCAGCCAGATACATCAAGCTCCCACAGTGCAGCTGAACAGGACGACATGAAAGTACAATTTGTAGCGACGGCCGGTTCTGCTGATGTAATCGGAGCGACCGACTGCACACACATTGTTATAGAGGCACCATCACTAGATGAGTTTGTTTATGTAAACAGGAAGCTGTTTTATTAAATCCGTGTCCAGATCATCTGTGATGCGCAAATACATTGAAGTAACATTGTTAGAAGGTGGCCTTGATCAACAGCTGCTGGTCAGAATGATTGAGTTGTGCTCATTCATTCTGGGCTACAGGCTACAAGCTGCACGGGGCAGGACGGGGGCTTCTTGATGAGGAAGTCATTTAATTGTCCTAATATTAATCCCTCTGACACGCCTTCAGCATGTGCATCAGCAGCTGTTGTGGCGGACCGGAGGATCAGCTGACCCCGGGGAGGCTGGAGGAATCCGGCGGGTCTGTGGTACGAGGCTGGGACTGGGTCTCAGTCTCCTCCTGCCTCATGTTGGAAAATAATAAACTGAGTAATTAAACATGAGACAAAGTTTTGATTTCCTCTTTGACATCCTGGCATGATTACACATGAACCTGTATGTTGTTTGGCTGCGAGCAGATGATTGTATGACCTGTATAGTGAATAAATGTGTGAGTTACACCATATATACTGACCTCGGGGTGATCTGAGTGACCTACGTGTGCTCCCACCACCCCTGTGACAGCAGCATCACCCACAATAGACTCTCTGCTCAAACGGGGTGAGTTCATCCTGGTTACTGTTATCTGATCCTGCAGAGAGGGGAATCCCACCTGTCGTTTATACTAATTTGCATATTTAAATTGGGGGCGTGGAGGGGGAGGAGTCTGGTTCTCCAACATGTCAGTTCCACGCTGAGTGAGATGTACAAAGGAAATGTGCTGGATTCCGGCGTACGCACACTTTCGTTCATCTGGATTTGTTTGTGCGTTGGCAGTTTTCAGGATTGAAGCGTACGCCAGGTTTCAGGATGAAATCCACACAAGTCTTTGTACATGAGGCCCCTGGTGACTAAGAGCCCTCAGACAGTGTGTTGCCCTCTGCAGGTTTCCGTGTCAGAAGCCATCTGGCAGGACAGTGGATGAAGCAGTCAGGTTCAGGCCGCTTGTACTTTTCTGGCCACATGATACAGATGAGTTTGATGCTGATGTCAACTGTGACTTTAATTATGTGATCTGAGGCTGAGCTGCTTCTTTAAACCAGTGAACAACCCGACTGATCCGAACATCCAGAGTGACGGGATTCAGTAACTGCAGCCTTGTTCAGTTCAACCTGCATCACTAACACCCTGAGTCTAACCCTGGCGTCTCTGATGGGGGCGTGTGGACGTGGACAGGGACAGGACAGACCAACAGGACACTTACCTGGGTGTTCAGACAGGTGAGACGAGGAGGGAGAGACACTGTGCTGGGATGAGGATGACGAGAGGACACTGCAGGAGGACAAAACAAAACTCAATCAGGTCCATCTGACTGTCAGTCTGTTTATAGCAGGACAGTCCAACAGAAGCCCACCTGTCAGCTGACTGTAACACTTGGACACCTGCAGGGGGCGGGGCTTGGACAGGTTGCCTGGCAAAGAGGGGCATGTCCTTCTGGAAGACCCGCCTCATCTCTGACACCAGCTGTGACAGGTTGGACACACCCTGGCGGGAGGAGACACGGACAGCCTCAGGTTAACATGTGTGATGGTGAGACGACCAAGTGAGCAGGTTACCCGGCTAACTAACCCAGCCTTACCTGAGACCAGCTGTTGAGCGTCTCTACGCTGATGTTTCCGTAGGCGTCCACGCAGGGACAGGACGGATTGATCACCATGGTGACAGACGGGCAGACGTAGCAGCGAGGACGGGATGCCGGGTGGGTCTCATGGAGCCAGATGCACACCGGGATATTATACTCAGCTCCTGTGGACACAGTCAACAGAACCGGACCAGCACAGTAAAGCAACACTACAAAGTACTGCACGACTAAACCCTGTGATATTCGGGTCAGTCCTGTGACTGATCAGCAGTGTTTGCTAAGAGCTGCTGCCGACCGTCCCAGATGGTGAGCAAACCCCTCCTCAGGCCTCTCCTGCCAGCTGAGTGCTGGGACTTGACACATGTTGTGAACTGCGCCATACAAATAAAATTGAATTGAACTGAACTGAACAGACACATGAAGTGAAACGTGGAACCATTTTCCTTAAACAAGCACCGTCCCCGTTTACATTCTGCACTACAGCAGTTACAGTTACAGAGAGTGCTGCACAGCACCACGAACCGTCCGGGCGGAAACCGGGCCGACAGCCACGCTGTCCCGGCCATACATAGTATATAGACGGTATATAGTGGAACAAGTCCTGGAGACATCTTAGTTGAATAAGTGGCTAGAAATATAAAGTGAACTGTAAAATAAGTTAATCATGGAACAGCTTTCACAACGTCATGATAACATTTACAATAATCCAATATGAATGTAATAAGTGCACCAGTTCACTGTCAGAACCAGACCTACCTATATGAGCAGGTACAGAAAATACTAAACATCATTTTACTGAGCCTGAAAATAATCAACATAAATGAGTACGTTTGGCAGGGTTGTGGAGATGGAGATGAACCAAGAAGATTATCCTGCACTAAAGCAGACTGAACACAACATGCTGCGCTCTGGGAGGATTCTGGAGTTTTCTTTTTATTCCGATTACACTTGAAAATTAAAATAAATGAGAAAAAGCGCTCATATTCCGTCCACTACAAAGGCTGGTGAGAGAGAGAAGCGTCTCTGGATTTAAATTTAACCACGAGGCATTGAAGTCCCTCGAACTGAAGCAGAAGAGAATAAAATGTGCATTTCGGTTCTTTTTAAATTCATAATAAAATAAGAATTTTAGGGTTCTCCTTCTTTCATTGCTGTCCTGATGGTTTACCTTTTTGTTGTGGCTTCATTTCAGGATCAAGCATCGATTTATTCAGGCCGGTATCGTGACAAACTTTTTCAACAACTTCCCCGAGGTACCAAAGGGGTCCATAAAGTTCTATCTGATCTAAACTGCACTCGGCCAGACAAGAACAGACCTGCTCAGGTTCTCCATCACCTAAATTATCAACGGGAATGAATCACTTCAAGATTAATCAACACCATCCCGACACCACACCCAGACCGATCCGGTCCAGTTTGATGCAGACCGGTCCAGGCTGACAACACCAAACAGTCATCTGAAGCAAAACGGCGGAGTGTCCAACCTTCGTAGTAAACAGGAAGTGTTCCGGCCAGATACAGCAGCTTCTTCTTCTCGTTGTTCGGGAAACCTGTCAGAGACACGGCAGCTGATCAGCACTCATCAATACGGACAGTACGGGTCACTGCTGATCAATATCGATCAGCACTGACCTTTGGTGATGAATACTTCACAACTGATCCACACTGATCAATACTGTTCAGTACTGATCACTGTTTAATACTGATCAATACTTATCCCTAATGAATACTGGTTGCGGATCACTAGCGATCACTAATCAGTACTGATTATGGATTGTTACAGATCGATATTGATCAGTACTGATCAATACAGAGAATCATTCACTGAATGTGACTAAAACAAACAACAGGAGAACATCAGGAGAACGTCTGGCAGTCTGGACTCACAGTAGAAATCGACGTAGAGTCGAAGGTCGGAGAACCGAGCCCGAACCGCCTGCAGGTCTGACAGAGTCTCTGCTGGGAAGCTGTAGCGACACTGAGGAGGAGACGCTGCCATTAGCTCGATGCTAACGAAGCTAACCCTTCCCGTTATGTCTGAATGAAACTTCCGCGTTAGCACGGCTGCTAGCCGGTTAGCTGTGACAACTTGTCTTCTGAATATTGAAGTTTGATTGCGAGCAAAGATGGAGGATTAAAACTGATCTCACCTCTGCCAGAGTCCGCAGCTCCGCCTCCGGACTGATCCGCGGCATCGCACTGACAAACTCACCTCAGAGACGGTCACTGTCTCCCCGCTGCCCGGTGACACTCCGCCGCCGGCTAACTTCTTGTTCGTGTTGGGCGGTTCGCACAGTGACTCATTAGCGCCCCCCGCTGGTTGGAACGTGGCTCACAGTATTTACACCATGAACTAAAGCAGCCTGACGAGCTGAAACATGATCTGATGATCATCGGGATGTATTCTGAGTACACTGAGCTGGCTGTTGCCCGCAGCAAGGTGAGTAAAGATGACAAACAGGAGCTGCTGCTGCTGAATAAAACTGAACTTGTTTGATCAGAACATGTTCAATCACAGTTTCACTGTTAATGAGTTCAACTGTAAATTCATCTGGTCAGATTTTAAACCAACAACTTTTATTATGATAAGATGAAATGTTGTATTTGATAAATGATAATCAGCGTGCTTGTAAAAGGACCTGCAGAGACTTGGTGAGGTCAGGTGACCTCCTGTGGTCAATGACAGGTGAGCCAGAAGTGCCTGAGATGCTTTATTGATCTTTGATTATTGATCATCAACAGAAACAGCAGCTGATCAGGTGACTTGTACAACTCAAACTCTCACCAGCCCCTGCACAAAAAGTCTCTGAGTGGGTGTGGCCTCCTCTGATGGGCGTGGCCATTTCAGACAGGCGTGGCCCTCCACTCCTTGCCCTCCGTCAGCGCTCGAGGCTGGTGGATAAACACGCTGTAGCGGACGCCCTGATTGGCCGCCGCCCTGACAAAGCGGCTGTTGGCCGTCATGGTAACAGCTCTCAGGGAGTCTCCTGTGCCAAAGATCATGAGCGAGCGGTGGTTGACCTTGGCGCTGGGCGTGAGGCGCAGCGTGCGCTCCGACGGCCGATCGTCGACCACGTGGAGGCGGGCGAGCAGTTTCTGAGCGCGCTCCTTCTCGCCTGGCCCGCCCAGCGTATCCAAGATAACCTGGAAGTCGTGGATGGCAGCACGGCAGGCAAACAGCTCCTTTCCCGCCATGAAGGCGTCAAGCTGCGGCAGCACCTGCTGCCGGCGCTCCTGCGCGGCCTGCTCGGTCAGCACCGGCTCCCTGAAGGCCAAGTGGCAGCGGCCATGACTCAGCGATGACACGTACGTGATGAGGGTGGTGATGTCGAGGTTCGCCCGCCGACACTCCTCCACCTGCACGTTTGCCGGAAAAGCCAGACTGGCCACCACCGTGCCACGGTCCACCTGCGTCAGCCCTGCAGCAGCCTCTTCGTCGTCGCTGTCGTCAGCTGGTTCGTCGTCCTCCTCTTCCTCCTCTTCCTCCTCGCCATCCTCGCCGTCCTCCTCGGTCACCAAGGTGTTGACGGCCACGATGTCACCACGGACGGACACGCCCATGTCTCGGAGGCGGTCGGCCATGGGGCAGGAGACGCCGTTGTAGAAGGCGAACACAACGTGCGGGTGGCGGTAGTGGACCGGCTGCTGGCGGCTGGCCTGCAGGAAGAGCTCCGCCTGCCGGATGATGCTCTTGTCGCCATACTGGCCCCGCCCCTGCCAGATGTTGTGAAGCGCCTCCGCCTTTCTGCCCACAGCCTTCACCCAGGTGTGTCCGCCGTTCGCCACCACGTCCACCACCAGCGTGCGGCGCCGGCCGGAGGAGTCCTGGTAGGTGAAGACGTGCAGCAGCGCCACCACATCCTCCAGGCTGTGGGCGGAGTCCACGATGGCAGTCAGGTGGGTCAGGTTGGTGCTGTGCAGGTGAGACTCTTTGACCTGCAGCTCGCCCGACTCCACCCGCCGCAAGAATCGCAGCTCAGAACGCAGCTTACCGCACAGCTTCAGGTGACCCTCCACACCTGGACACAGCTGCTCCGCCCGCTGCAGCAGCACCTGGGCGGAGCTTATCCTCTGCTGCAGCGTCTCCTGGAGGGACATGTCTCCGAGGATGACCTGAAGACGGAGACACAGAGACACCTGAAGACACAGCTGGACAGATGTTTGGCTCTCTGCTCATGTACCAGACTGAACCACCTGCATCACATCAACACATGCCGACGGATAGAACCGGGCTTCAGGTTCAGACGGAGAGCAGAACCTAAAAATCCTCTGACTGATCTGTATTAATCTGTTTCGTGAATCACTTCATTGATATGCTTTATTGATCTGTTGACACAACACCAGCGTGTGTCGTCACTCAGGTGTCTCCAGGTGATGAGTCCCTGCTTCACGTGACTTGTTGTGTTTTCTGTATGGATTCTGGTGTGAGTGAAACCCGTTTCCATTAACTCGGAAAGTTAGCCTGTTAGCTCGTTAGCCTGTTAGCTCTGACGCTGCCGTGATGTCAGCTGTTAGCTTAGCTTAGCTTACCGGCCTAAAGCTGGTCGGTTTTTATTGTGGCCATTTGAAAACGTTAAAAACAGACGTCGACGTTACTTACGGCGACAGTGACGTGTGGACCGCAGGTGTCTGCTACCTGCACAGCTGAAAGCGATGCTAATGCTAACGGCCAGGTCCTCCTTCTTCTTCTGCGGCTCAGCTGGAACACCGCGATCACGTCACTATATAGAATAACACGGTCTTCTTCTTCTTCTTCTTCTTCTTCTTCTTCTTCTTCGGGTGGATTAGCGGCAGACTGGCCGCAGCAGAGGCGTGTTGTTGCCCCCCACAGGTTGCTAGGAGAACTGCACCGTGGAGAACCTCAGTTGCATGTTTGTTTCAGGCTGATTATTGATCCCAGGGATTGATCAGTGACCAGTTTGTGTCCGCTCTGCTGCAGGAGGCTTCTGTCTGTCTGACAGGCTGAACAGAGCTTCATTCACAG